GTGTTCAATGGCAATATAACCGGCATTCGATAACGCACCAGCGCATACCAGTCGCGTCAGCAGAACTTTCTTGCAGCAGAAAAACGTACAGGTGTTAGATTGGCCATCTAAATCACCTGATTTGTCACCGATTGAGCATGTCTGGGACGTTCTTGGGCGACGGGTGAGAGAACGTCAAAATCAGCCGTCAAACTTGCAGGAGCTGGCCCAAGCCTTGATCGCTGAATGGAACAACATCTCTCCTCGAATTATCCGCCGGTTTACGAGTTCCATGCGACGACGCTGCAATGCTGTTTACTTCACAAACGGTGGTCATACCCGTTAATAATGGTGTTACCCTTGAAATTGATCGTCCTTTACAGTCGAATAAAATCAACTGAATGCAAAGTTTTATAATGAACCATGACTGCAGTTTTATCAGAATTGATCAATTACTTTATTCGTACATGATTGGTAAGGATTTCTGAAGGGGTTAATTAATTAATCACAGAATAAAGTAGTGTTACCTTTCTTTTTTTGTTTAGTATATATACTAAAACGAAAAAGAAACGCCAGGTAACCTAAAAAGATTCTTTTGAATGATATAATTTAATGTTACATTATTTCATTCATTTTTGTATACAATTTCATCTGTTTGGAACCATTTGTTCTATCGATTATCAATGCTAATTATGCCAAAAATATCCCCCTTTTAGCGATGACCCTACTTGTATTGCGCAACACGGCCGGACATTTCAGTATCTTGTGTGTCCTCCAGGCGCAGCTGTCGCAGCCCTGATTCTTCTATGCATGGAATTCATCAAGGTGTTAACCCTTGCAATGGGGATGTTATTCCATTCTTCATGCAAGGCACGTGTGAGCTGGACCAGATTAGTGGGGGCATTTGGACGTCTCCTAACTCTCCTATCCAATTCGTCCCACAAATGCTCAATTGGAGACAAATCTGGACTGAATGCTGGCCAATCGATTGGAATTACGTTATTGTTGGCAAAAAAATTGCTGACAAACTCTAGCGACATGGGGCCAGGCATTGTCTTGCTGGAATATCAGGTTCCGTGCTTGCACACATGGCACGGCAACTGGGCGAAGGATTTCGTCTCTATACCTTACGCCGGTTAAATTACCGTCAATCACGATCAGGGGTGATTTAAACCCATAGGAGATACCGCCCCAAACACATACTGAACCACCGCCAAACCTATCCCGCTCAGCGACGCACGCGTCGGTGTAACGTTCCCCACGACGTCGATATACACGACGTCGCCCGTCCGAACGGTAGAGAGTGAACCGGGATTCGTCAGTGAAGAATACCCGTCTCCATTGCCTCATAGGAAAATTTCTGGGCGAGTGTGCTTGTAACCAAGCCAATCGGCGTTGGCGACGCGCAGGAGTAAGGGGCAGACCAAAATAGGGACGTCGGGCTCTTAGGCCATTGACGCGTAATCGGTTTCGAACCGTATCAGGATGAATATGGCGGTTATGACTGCCTATAGTGTTATTTGCAGTTTCGGTAGCTGTGAGATGGCGATTACGTAAGTGAGAGTCTTATAAACCGATCCTGATGTGGCGTCGTGACGCGCGGACGTCCACTTCGCGGTCGATCGATGACCCTCGCCGTCACTCGCACACTTTGGACAAGACATTGAATTGTCCGAATATGCACACCAAAATGTGCAGCAACGTGAAGTTGGCCCTGACCCTGCAAAAGCATTCCTATAGCCTGTCCCCGCTGGACTTCCGTCAATCGTGGCATGGATGTAAATTGCTTAATTCGAATCAAACTTTGAAAAATCAATCCGAATACTTGAACAGTATCAAATAGACTGAAAATTTCCATTGGCGAACTCAATGACCTTCCCCTACACGGTATTTTAGCACGTGCCTCGCACGGAGCGCGGAGGTCAGGTATTGTGTGATTTTAAACACGTGTACCTAGTGACCGCGAACAACACATCAACCTGACCGAGTGTCATTATCCTAGGTCAAGCAATAAATCATTTGTAGTATATTTAGTGTACCCGGCGTTTCTTTTTCGTGTTAGTATATATGTGTGTGTGTGTGGGTGTGAGTGTGGGTGTGTGGGTGTGGGTGTTGTTGTATGGGTGTGGGTGTGTGTGTGTGTGTGTGTGTGTGATGGTACCCCCATCACCGATATCTAAAGCATTATATATTACAGTAAAACTCACTTGTGTCGAACACGCATAAGTCGAATACATCGGATGAGTCGAACGTTTCGTTCGGTCCCGATTTTTTCTCCTCTTTATCTTAGTAAATTAAACACTTTTGTTTATACAGGTGCACAGGTAAATATCTCATTTTACCAAGAACTATGCGATCAAACAGCCATTGAAATAAAACATCTCATGTTTACTTTTTGCCCGTCAGTTATTTTATTTGAGTGAAAATGTCAACATTTGAGTGGAAGTGTAAAAGGGGGCTATAAATTAGGGTGAAAATTCGGGATTTGTCATTCATTCCACACTCTCAATCATGAGTTCAAATGAGCAATCTAGTGAAGGACCCAAGTCATCTGGGGGATAACTGGATCTACTGCCGTCCGCAATGCCTGCGACACCATCATGACGCATCTCGAGAAGTCCGAGGAGTCTGACGAACTTTTGGCCATGATGACTTACATCTCTGGAAAGATTTCTATGAACTTGCTTAGTGTATTGTGGTTGTGTATTTACTTTTAGACTTCGATGGAGAATATTTGTCTCAACGATACAAATGCTATAAATGTGAGCACAATATGTGTACATGTATTTTTTTTAAGTATTGTTTGCACGAAGTACCCAGTGTAACGTGTGTCTTTTGTGCAATCTTGTACGCATAATCCACGTGTTTGTGACAATGATGATTAGAGTAACTGTCATTAACCTACAATTTATTTGTATTTTAATAAAAAATAATTGTTATTATAAAATATAGATGTTGTCTTGTTCTTTTCATTAATACCTTGCTATCAGAAACGATCGGCGAAAATAGGGTCAGTTTAAATATACGATGTCTCGATTACAGACGATAGACAAAAGCACTGTTGAGTCGAACCATCGGATAAGTCGAATATTTTACTTGGTCCCATCGACTTCGACTTATCCGAGGTTTACTGTATATATTTTTACTTCTTAGTCCCAGGTGTAGAAATGACACGTTTACTAGTAATTTGCACTATAACATGTGTCCTAGGACATATCTACATTTGCTATTCACAGTAATAAACCCTGAAATGATAGTTTGACTTCTTTGCCGCAGTGTACGAATGGAAATGTTATTTAGTAATTGTAAATATCACCCTTGATATCTTACAATAATATGCGTTGCTCTTATTCCCAGTCTGAAAATGGATTGATTTTAAAACGTGTCACATAAGTCAAACAATTATAGCTGGATAATGATCGCTGTTACCTGTACATCATGCAACTGTGGCCTGTATTTTATTGTCGATCTATTTGTGACACTTTGATAAACTATTATTATTATTAAATCCTGTCATTTCACCACGAAAACAACTCACTTCAATCTTCAAACATAAAAGCATACAGAGTGTTCACGTTCATCTCTTTTGTCTACGTACTGGCAAATGCAAGTGATTTACAGTATTTAGGAAAGGTTCCTCCATGATTATCATAGTATTTCAGTCTGGTAAAAATGTTTTCTAAACTCTATCTTGAAAGTATTGAGTGTTTTACTTTCAGTGGCACTTGCTTGACTATTCAATTGTGTTGAGCCATTTATACTTAAAACAATTCAAAGTACCCTATTTTGTATTTTGCAATAATCTAGTTTGAATGTTGTGTCACTGCTCAATAAAGTTTTGCAATTTAAGTAGTAAGAACAAAGATTTTTCATTATTTTAAACATTAATACACATTTCCTGTATTTAACTATGTGGATGAAATGCTACCATTTTAATTTGACAAATATTTGTGCACAAGGAACATTATTATCTACCTCCAAAATTATCCGTAGTGCTCTTTCAAGAAAAGGCTCAAGCTTCAACGGTTATCTGCGTTTTAAACCCTTTACATTACTATCTTCTTATCATTTTCAACAATTACATAAATTTAGGTTCAGCATGAAACTGTACTTCTGTACGTGTTAAAATCTTTTATCCTTAACTGACATTATATTGCTAATATCCTGTCTTCAACATCAAACTTTGTGATTGATAATATATACCGTGAATTCGCTATCATTACATTGTTATAAGCTGCTTCAACATCTTTTGGTGTTAATAATTATAGAGTATTCGATATGTAGTGGTAAACTGAATATCGATTAGGTAAACACATTATTGTTAAGGTACTCTATTTCTTTAGTTTATTGCATTTACTATGTTATCAAGATAAATGGTGTTTCTCGAAGATACTTGATTTGTATCGTGCAATGTGAAACCAAGAGACTCCTCTCCATTTCGTATTATGATATATCCCTAGTCAGTCTACATATAACAGGAATATAACTCAGATGGTGCTCGTAGTTTTTCAGGAATTGTTATTCACCATTTGTGGCTTCTGGTAAATTATTCAAGATAATGTCTACCTGGTAATTTTCTATTGTATAAATGTTTTTGAAAATAATAAAACTCAAATGAAAGCAAATCGTGGCAATTTTAGATATCGCGTATCTTACTATATTTTAATTCAGGTATCTAGTTCCACCATCTTTTCGGTGACCATCTTCAATCATCTGAAGACATCTATCTAAGCACTACCAGGAGTTACGACAAGCAGGTTGATATTGTACAAAAGACACACAAATAAACAGCACCTTTCAATACAAATTTTGTAAGAAAGAAACATCATATTAAGATCATCATAATCAGTAAGAAGACTATGACCTTGAGGACAATGACCAAGAAGTCAGAATCATCATCTCAGGAAATTCAACGTCTAAGGAGGGCCACTATCTCAGGATCAACATACATGTATTAGGATTAACATCCAAGTATCAACAACTTAACATCACCATTTTATGATCAATAAGATAAGCCATACCTTATACTCGTTCACCTTCTGCGGATGAGGGAATTCATTTGTTGAAGCGATGAGATGAACGAATTTGCTCTTCATTCCCTTCCTATATATGCTTTCAGCTATAATTCTGCTGACAAGGTTTTTACCTGTCCCTGTTCCCCCGTTGAACGAGAGAGACAGGGCTTTTGTTGTGTAGACATTTCTATCTTGGGCGCTAAAGTGATTGAGTATTGCTGTTTGACTCAAGTGCTGGCCGTATACCCGTGTTTCTAGGGACCTCTGCAAGCCTACAACGATAATATAATTTAAAATTAGTTCTTATGATGCCGACGTTATTAATGCATCCGGAAAGCTACTTGTTGAACTGGCTCAATTATTTCAGAAAACAAGGACGAGTGGACAAACATTAAATTCATAAATAATTATTCCGATATATATTTAGTTTCACATTGTTGGTAATATCCTCTGCCATGTTTCGTACCAACAGCTCCACGGTATTCATGATCGATGTAAGTGAGAACTATTCTAATGTAAGGTAATTTTAAATACTAAAGGATTATGTCGTAACATGGCACATATTGATCAATAATGAACTTTTGATGAGGTTGATATAATTTTATACAAACCTACACTTGTAGTAGAAACGTACTGACCTCGGGTGAAGCTTAGTTCTCCGCGGTCCCACTTGAGTTTTTAAAATCACATCATTGATCCACAACATTGTACAAAAGATACAAAATTTAGAAATTGCCAATATTTAATTATTTCATAATAATTTTATTTTCAAACAGTGCCATTGTTCGAATATGGTTTCCATAATAACTATTAATATACAAAATGATAAATAGGATACTCCTCTTTAAAGTAACGTTAACGGAGATATATGTAAATAATAACTAGAAATAAAAACTTACCATCTCTATCCAGTTTGATGTACGCATCTGTACAACACTCCCCTCCAAATCTACACGTGATGGGTTCAAAAAAGGACTTGATGGAGGAAATACCATCCCAACACGTGATATTTGTTACAAGTACCATCAGCACCATCCAACGAAGGACAACACAGTTTTGCCACTTTATCATGATCACTACAATATCAACATGGTGTTATTGATATCAAACCAAAGAATTATGATCTAAGGTTAACTTAGTTAGAAATAAATATATCGCCAATGCCAATTAGAACTTAAATCATTATTAATAGCACAATATTATATCACTAATTTTGTAAAAGGAAAACGAATATCAGCATGTCAACATGATTTAAATTCAAACACAAATTCCACGAAAATAAAGCAAAATATGAAAATAATAGATTGACATTGAGACTCAAGAGAAGAACAAGACCAGGTATTCCGAAATAGAGTGTCATTTCTGATCTATCGAGGCCAATCATCTCGATAACAATGTAAACAACAACCGAACAACCGGGCATTCGTGATATTAGAATGCTTTATGTGATAAATTTTTTTTGTTACACGAACAAGCGTTGGAACAATACAGAGTCGTCTCGACATGTTTGAAATATACAATGCAACTTATAAAGAAGTATTCAGGGTAGCAACTGCTCAAAAAATAGCAACTGATTTGTAATCGGCCTCCTGTCGAACACACTCCTCAGATAAATATACTGGCAGTAATAAACTATGGATCAATGGTTGTTGATAAAGTGCGTTCAGTAGCAATAGTTACTGATAGTTAATCGTAGCTATGTTTAAACTTTCTCTCAAGTATGACTCTCTGATGATCACTTACCCGTTTGTTTATATATAATTGTGGACAGTTGATCTGTTCCCTCTCAAGACTCTCTGATCAAGAACTTCCTGTTTGTTTACGTAACCATGGCTATCTGTAGCTTGATTTTCCCCACGTATGACTATCATAGTTCATGGTTAGGATGGATTATCAAGTTAGAACTAGTGAATGATCATTTGTTAGGACGCATTATTTTGATTAGGACTGGTTTTGAACATTTTTTTCAACATGGTTGAACATGGCCTGAGATACATAATACAGATCATACGTCCCTGATACGACTCACCTGTGATCGTGCACCTGCCTGTTTATAGCTTGTTTTTTATATAACGAGATATAACCTACTGGGAAATTCACCCGGAAGTAATAATCTGGTACCGATTACTAATAAAATTGGGAGAATCGCGATGACGTCACAAAGTCACGTGATTTTGAGTGGTAGGCAAAACAAGTGTACTCCACGCTGTCCGCCATTGATTGTTTACAGTTTGTCGGTCGAAATACGCCTCTGTTTGTTCTAAGATTATGCCGACATCTTGCTGTGTCATTGGTAGTACGTTTAAGCACACTAGTAACCATTACTTCATGCAATTAATTCTTTGAATATCAAAACAAATTTGAACAATTGAACCTTTTTAATTAATATAGTTCAGGAATACGGTAACTGGGTAATAATCACATTAAACGTCAATGTCGCACATAGTCCTTGAAATAAGCTGGCTCGCGAATCGTTCTTATCGGTCGCGACGGTCGCATTATACCAGATTCAGCTGTGGGTGCAGTCGGAGTGTCCAACGTTTGTCTGAATCTTGTTCTCGGACGCATTTTGCTTTGTACCTGTGTCAACATCGCACAAATCATTCCGGCACACATTTTCGCCATTTCGGGACGAATTGCCAGCTTCACTGTCCAATATGCGGGTTGGCGTGTGATCACGGATTCTCACGTCGACTGTAGTTGGTCGTAGATGATCACGATTTCTACGATATATCGCGACATAGGGAGTTTGAAGAGTGTACGATCTATCAGCGACTTCATCGATTATTTTTCCCTGTGTCCAGATGTCGGTCGGGGATTTCTTATAATATACACTTTTTCCTTTTCTTAATTTCGGGAGCACTCGCGATTTCTTGTCGTAGTTTCGCTTGACAGTGGTTTTTCAGGACTGTCTACGGTTCACAATTTCCAAGTCATTTGGCACTCGGTACATCGGCATTCCCATTACTTTGCGCGTAATTCGGTGATGCAATTTTGTGACGGATTCCTTAGGATTTAAAGAGCCTGACCCACTCCTCGACCGATATTATTTTATATAAAAAATCATGATTTTCTTTTTTTCTCGGGCAGCAAAACTTCTGACTAACCCTGTAATACCGAAATTTTAAAGTAACTAGCTACCAATCTAACGTAATCAATAGCTTTAAAAAAGAAATCGAAACGACTCAGTGCCAATTCATAATTATGCGGGAAGTCCTGCCCTCTGCGCAAAAAACTGTCTTCCAACATGGCAGAAAGCGTGCGAGGGAAGCGGGGAAGAAAACGTGTTTTGACGGACTCTGGGTCGAAAAGGAAGATAGCTTGTTCATACTCTGTATCGCTCTCTGTTTGGATCTCTCGTGTATTATCACTAAAATCTTATTCATAAATACTCTTATCATCGAATATTCGCTTTAGATAGATCCATTTCGCGATGTTCTTTATGTTCGTTACCGTATCGTAGCCCCCATTTGAGGGCCTCTCTGCAATTAATCGTAGTTTTTCTCTCGGCTCTGCTTAACGCATCGGCAATGGTCAGATTCAGTCCTTTCACAAATTGGAATTCGAAGTCGTATCGGTTCAAACGCAGTAGAATGTTCTGCAGTCGTTATGGTGCATTGCTTAACGGCTTTTTTCAGTATCGAAGCTAGCGGCTTGTGATCATTTTGGACTGTTACGGCTCTTCCATAGGTATATTGATCAAAACCCTCGAGACCGAAGAGTATCGCTAAGGTCTCTTTCTCGATTTGTGCCCAGTTTCGCTCGGACGTAGTTAACGATCGTGATTCAAACTCTACCGGCTGTACGTCTCGCATCAATACTGCACCGATTCCATGTTGACTGCTATCGACCTGAATAACAACTTCCTTGTTGGCGTTGAAATAAGCCAGTACGGATGCTTTTGTTTCCGTTTTACGATTTGACCGTCTTTAAACCAGTTCCATTTCACATCTTTGCAAGTTAATGCACGGATCGGTTCAAGAGTGATCGCAGGTCTGGTAAGAATTTTGCCATGTATTGTACAACACCACAGAATCGTTTGACACCGGAAATGTCATCTGTCGCAACAATCTCCTAAATTGCCTGGATTTTCTTGTCGTCGGGTTTCACACCATCGCAAGTTATCGTATGACTATGGAACGTAATTTCGCGTAATCCAATTGCTTTCTTGTCCTCGTTTAGCGTGATATTATTCTCTTTACAACGCTTGTAAAGGGAACGTAGTTTCCGGTCATTGTCGCAATTGGCATCTTATCATTATTTCCGCGTCGAGTTTCACCTGCCAGTATGGCTCCTTCACGTCTAATTTGCTGAAACATCTAGTATTGCTTAGTTTTGGAAGCACATCATCCAATGTAGGAAGTTTAAAATGTTCCCGCGTCAATGCGGTATTGAGCGGTTGCGGGTCTATGCAGATACGCAATTTCCCATGAGACTTATGTACAACCGCCATTTGACTTCCCCATGGGGTTGGTTCAGTGACGGATACGAGAACTCCACGCGTTACTAGTGAATCAAGTTCACGTTTTACATCATCCTGTATTGCGATCGGTATTTTACGACACGGCAATGTCTTTGCGGGTGTTTCCGAATTAACTTTGAGAGACGCTTTACCGAGATCTCCAAGTTGTTTGTGCACAGCGGCAATAATCTTGTTGTTGGTGTTTGTCACTAGCACCATTTCTTGAATTGTTTGTAATCCGAGAAGACACATTAGGACGTTTGGTACCACCACACTCATCCTGTCTTTCCTCAGTTTTTTTTTTAGGTTTACTCGGTTTTCCACAGTGTCCAGTACTTGGTTTCTTATATGCCTCGTTGGAGTGTGGATTTCGATTACTGCTGTTGACATTATTTGTTTTCTTATATGCCTTTGAAACTTTGTTTACTTTGTTATTGAGCGAATCACCGCCCTCTGTTAGTTCCTTGTCGCGACTGACAGACTGTTCAAAACCACGACACACTTAAATTGTACTGCCCAGAGTGTCATTGTCGTCTTTCAACAATTGTAGCTAAAGTTTTCCTTGACTTGTGAAGAAGAATTTGGCTCTGATAAGACGATCTTTGAGAGTGCCAAAATAACATCTATAGGCCCTGTTTCTCAGCTCAGTCAAGAAAATGTCAAATGATTCTTGCCACGGCACACACCAAAATCTGTGTGATTAAATCACCTCGTTTGTTCAGGGATTGCAGTATTTTTCAAGCTTCTTTAACACCTTATCGGGATCTTTATCATCATCATCATCATTGTCCCACGTGAATTGGTCAAACAGTTCAACCACGTTTGGTCCAGCGCAGTGTAAAAATATAGCAACTTGTGTCGCCTTTTGCTTCGCCGCGGCGCCACTCGCTACCATATAAATTTCAACTTGTTTCCATTTTAGGAAATTTTCTGCAATATTACCTTCGGTAATGTTCAGTTGTTCTGGCAAACGAAATACTGCTTCTGTTACTTTAGTTTTCCCTGTCACCATGTAAATAACACTTTAAAATTATAAAATAGCTAAAGCAGGAACGAAAAATAATTATTCATCGAGATATTTAACGTTGTTTGAAAAACACACCTGTACGGATTGACACATGGCCTAAGTGTGAAACATATTTCAGATCGAGGCTATCACAATTAACGAAACGAAACATGTCATCAACAGTTATGTACTTACACCATGTACCATGAAAGATGAAGCATATTTTCAAGTCACTTCTGGTTCATCGTGGATGACAAAACAACAACGTGGCAATGCCAGGAGAAGAGGATAATGGTTGCACTACATCTCCGATTTTGCTTGTCATGGGTATGAGTATGGTGGCCAAGGCAACAGAAACAACCACTGGTAGGCTTCATGTATGATCTGACCATGACAACATCCTATGAACAAGAAAGGTCGTATCTGTGAAGTAAAGTTGAACCTGCAGATACAATGGTCAGCAACCCATTCAAGTGCTAAGGGAGGTTGTTTTATGAATTCTTCTCCGGCACCTTGATCAAAAGCACATTGTCCAAAGATATATCATTGACGAGGAGAGAGGTCTAACAAAGTAGTACACGATTTGGATTTAACAACATGGAACCCTGTCTAGACTGGTGTCGTTGTTGGTGATTTACGAGGTTCCAGTCACAAGCTTTGAGGGATTGGCGAAATCAGTGAGCAGCTGCTTGAGAAGATGGCTAGGTGTCCCGCCAGGATTTACTACCAAATCCATCGGTCGTTAAAGAATTCAATGTGGCGAAGTGGCAGATCGTCATGGCATTGAGGGATTCGTCAGATACTAGAGTCAGCAAAGCAGGTGTTTCGACAAGAACGAGAAGGAAGCGGTCAGCGTCAAAATAAGCAGACCAAGCCGAAGGCTGCTATGGTTACGGAACGTGGTTGGAAACACCTGTTCCGGAAGACAAGGATTGAGCATAGTCCACTTTCAGCAGTGGAAGAAGGCAACAGCAACAGAGAGAAGAGGGGTGGTTCAGAATGAAAAAAGGCATGAAGAAGAAGACCATTAAAGAGCGGAGGTACTAGTAGTTGAACTGGGCAAGCAAAAAGGCGGATGAGTCTGGCAAAGCAGCTTTTGTGGTAAAAACTATGGTGAAAACAATACATGATCGCTTAGGTCTGCTGAGAGCAGATAACGACACACTGTCGTCTATCAAAACTAACAGAGGTACCAGTTGTCATCTGCGTGGAATGCGAGGGACTATGATGCACACGCTGTTAGGATGTCAGGTATCTCTGACACAGGGATGGTGTATATGACGGTCCTGTGTGAGTTGGCGGGAGTAGGGAGAGAATGATGTAGCATTCTGATCCAAAAGCAAGAAAAGAGAAGTTTTTCCTGAAACAATTTGAGTCGGTTGAGAAGAGAAGAACAACCAGGACAACGCTGATGGGCAGGGGGAGGGACTGGGATCTGCAAGTGGACATTGATGGAAGACTTGTATTCCCATGCAATGTGAACACAACACTTCGGCTAGACATAGTCCTCAAATCAACAGTCAAAACACTTGTAGTAGAACTGACAGTGCCATGTGATAATTTTGAGGAGGTGTACGAAAAAATAGACCTGGTAGTAGACTGCAGGGACAATAGATGGAGTGTAAATTTTCAATGGAGTCGATTACAGAAGTTTTTCAGCTCAGTCAGTGAGCAAGCTTTTGCAACTGGCAATGTTGGGGAAGGCGAAATCAGCAGCCTTGCGAAAGCTGGGAGGATATGACACCACTACTGAACAACCAATTGGAAGATATCGTGGCTCAGGGTTAAAATATCCGGGTAATAGTTGGTAACCATCAGATGACGAAGGAAATTGGCGACCAAGCAACAAGGGGCAAAAGTAACCGGTATACTGAGGATGCCAGGAATACAAGCAGAGAAAGATCTTCTGTAAGTAAACATGCACTATTGCCTAGTCTAATTACGCTTTTCCTTTTTTTAATCCTGCTTTGCTTTACGTTGAATTACGTAGTCCATATAGAACAAGAGAAAAACCTATTTATATGATGATTTGGAAAAGTTTGTAAGATAAGAAGAAACATAAAAAAATGCCAACATGTTGACAGAATCTTAATTGCAACTCAAATTTGATGAAAATGGCAATATATGAACAAAAAAAGTATTCATACGAAGACTCTTGGTCATGTATATTTTTGTTCATCGAAGTCTAGTCACATTCATAAAATGATTACCGGAGTAATAACACAACCCTGAATTCCAACTGCATGTACATGTATATACTGTAATATCGATGATGCTAGACAGTACAATAGAAGCGGTTGAAGAACAAATAGACTGACGAAAACTTACATATGAAATTGTTCATTAATAGCTTTATATAGGATGCAAGAGTAATGTTACCAACGCTGAATGCCGAATCACAAAAGTAACAAATAAACAACAAATTTTATCAACAATGAATTAAGTTTTATTAAATAGCAGCTAAACAGTAGTAACATTATACTGAACATAATCTACAGCAGAATGAATCTCATTGTTGATTACATTTAAAGCACCATGAAAAGCACTAACAAATAAAGCTTGTTTGATACAGCAAATGAGTAAGTTATCTAGGTGACTTCAGCTGTGATTTTCCTCTGTGATTCTCATGTGCTGAGGCGATACCAAATTGATGTGATATCACAAACAATATGTGTAGAAAAAGATAACCAACGTCAAAGTTGATATATGATCTTTGTGGGCTCTCTCATATCTTTATGTCTATCATGCCAAGTTCCATCACAATGGATTCACATTTGATAAATCCTACATACATCATACTTCAGGGTTTTCATTCTGGAACATTGATGAGTTTTAAACCTTTATTTAAACATTCCTTGAGATCAGCATGTATTTCACTTAACTACCAAACAATACACATAAATAAATATCAAAGATTTCCATTTGATGGAAATAAGGAATGTTCTTAATGAACAATCTCAAATCCACATGAAGATGTATGGCCTCTTTTTTCTATCTCTGCCCATCAGGTCACTGAGGCCACAGATCACTAAGACCACAGGGACATTGAGGTCAAAGGTCAATAAGACCACAGGGTCATTGAGGCCAAAGGTCAATAAGACCACAGGGTCACTGAGGCCAAAGGTCCCAGGGTCACTGTGGCCAAAGGTCACAAGGTCGCTGAGGTCAAAGGTCAATAAGACCACAGAGTCGGTGAGGCCAAAGGTCACAAGGCCGTGGTCAATAATATAAGTCACAATACTAGCTTATCACGGTTCGTAGAAACTTTCTACTGAATTTGACTTATATTTAAGAAAAAATGTAAATGCTGAGCAGATAATACAAATGACTAATGGCTGCACACAACAGCTATTTTACACTAGGCTTAACCTCAGATAGCTGCATAAAAAAGTTTAGTCTGGTATACAATGTACATATATTTATGATGAACATCAGGAAATCAATTAAATGGAAGCTTTTCTGTTGAATTGATGCCAACAGCACTAGTCATGTCAGAGATCAGTTAAAAATAGCATATATCAAATATCCATCGGCAACATCTAAAGTATCATTCACAACATATTACAGCTGAAATTGAAATTTCATTCCAGCTTTATAGTAAACTACTCTCATATCCTGCCATAATAAAGTCCACTTTCTCTGGTACTCGCTTACAACCTGTCACAGAAAACATTTTCTCATCTTCGGGAAAGTATGGTAATTGATCAGCAATTTCTCTCACAATTCTGTCCTCAATATCATCATAATTACGGTAATATTTCTTGGAGATGAGACTGTCTTTTATACACTGCCTAACATGTTTACGCTCCATCGGTAGAAAGGGAAGATGAGCAGAGATCATGTGAGACAGGAGCAGCTCGCTGTGCCATAATCCACCTACAACAGGACAGACATCATCAAAGTCACACTTACAAGGCATCAGAAATGATACAAATCCCTTCACTCAAATTGATAATGAAGTTGTGTTGATTTGCAAGTGCATCAAGGGGATAAAAAAAGCATACTTAATACAATGTTCAATCTGTGGTTAAGTTAAACATCATATAGAATGTAGAATCCATTCAACAGGTCATTTAACTCTCCTTACAAAACAAGGATCAGATGTGTTCTATTTCAATCAAGTCATTCTAATCTACATATACATAAGTCTCAGAAGTATCATTCAGTTAAACCTACTGTTTTTAGTGTTTACAGCTGCCTGGGTTATCAATTTCTCCATGTCCATCAAGGTGAGTTCTTCCCGTGATCGTCCCTCCTTCCAATGATCAAGTGTCTTAGTCAGTATGGCCTTACCAGCTGTGTTACTGTGGAACAAAAACACAAGAAAGAAATGAGTTTCCCCTTCTTGAAATGTTCCTGACTTGACATAGCCAAAGAGAGACACTTCTCTTTCCCTCTATATGAAACATCAAAAAAATATCAACAAGGCAACATAATCGTAATCTAAGCTCAAAGTCCAAAATATTGAGCAAAATATGAACAAAAGAAAGATTTACACAGAGACTCCAGAAAAAGTACAAGGAGAATAAGATCAGGTGTTCCGGAAGAGTAAGCATTTTCTGCTTCATCAGTCCGCAATGTAAACCTTGGTCAATCAAAGTAAGAAATGTCACATTCTCAAGTGAGAACAAGGCATACAACAACCGAACCAACAGGCAAACTAATGAGCAGCAAACATGTCCAGCTTCAAATCACACAAAGAAATAGAATATTTCTCAATGAGATCACTATGGCAACCATAAAACTTCAACATAATTTTCATCAACCTGCATCTTTTGAACCCCAATTGACAACTTCTTAAAACCCACAGAAATATATATTTCTCTCTTCACCATCCTGTAGACATAACAGACACTTATCTTCTCTCCTTCTAAAATGATTGTATTCTAGCACTCCTAAACCCACAGAAAGACACTTATCTTCTCTCCTTCTAAAATGATTGTATTCTAGCACTCCTAAACCCACAGAAAGACACTTATCTTCTCTCCTTCTAAAATGATTGTATTCTAGCACTCCTAAACCCACAGAAAGACACTTATCTTCTCTCCTTCTAAAATGATTGTATTCTAGCACTCCTAAACCCACAGAAAGACACTTATCTTCTCTCCTTCTAAAATGATTGTATTCTAGCTCTCCTAAACCCACAGAAAGACACTTATCTTCTCTCCTTCTAAAATGATTGTATTCTAGCTCTCCTAAACCCACAGAAAGACACTTATCTTCTCTCCTTCTAAAATGATTGTATTCTAGCACTCCTAAACCCACAGAAAGACACTTATCTTCTCTCCTTCTAAAATGATTGTATTCTAGCACTCCTAAACCCACAGAAAGACACTTATCTTCTCTCCTTCTAAAATGATTGTATTCTAGCACTCCTAAACCCACAGAAAGACACTTACAAAAGTACTGATTGTATTCTACTCCTAAACCCACAGAAAGACACTTATCTTCTCTCCTTCTAAAATGATTGTATTCTAGCACTCCTAAACCCACAGAAAGACACTTATCTTCTCTCCTTCTAAAATGATTGTATTCTAGCACTCCTAAACCCACAGAAAGACACTTATCTTCTCTCCTTCTAAAATGATTGTATTCTAGCACTCCTAAACCCACAGAAAGACACTTATCTTCTCTCCTTCTAAAATGATTGTATTCTAGCACTCCTAAACCCACAGAAAGACACTTATCTTCTCTCCTTCTAAAATGATTGTATTCTAGCACTCCTAAACCCACAGAAAGACACTTATCTTCTCTCCTTCTAAAATGATTGTATCCTAGCACTCCTAAACCCACAGAAAGACACTTATCTTCTCTCCTTCTAAAATGATTGTATTCTAGCACTCCTAAACCCACAGAAAGACACTTATCTTCTCTCCTTCTAAAATGATTGTATTCTAGCACTCCTAAACCCACAGAAAGACACTTATCTTCTCTCCTTCTAAAATGATTGTATTCTAGCACTCCTAAACCCACAGAAAGACACTTATCTTCTCTCCTTCTAAAATGATTGTATTCTAGCACTCCTAAACCCACAGAAAGACACTTATCTTCTCTCCTTCTAAAATGATTGTATTCTAGCACTCCTAAACCCACAGAAAGACACTTATCTTCTCTCCTTCTAAAATGATTGTATTCTAGCACTCCTAAACCCACAGAAAGACACTTATCTTCTCTCCTTCTAAAATGATTGTATCCTAGCACTCCTAAACCCACAGAAAGACACTTATCTTCTCTCCTTCTAAAATGATTGTATTCTAGCACTCCTAAACCCACAGAAAGACACTTATCTTCTCTCCTTCTAAAATGATTGTATTCCTTCTAAAATGATTGTATTCTAGCTCTCCTAAACCCACAGAAAGACACTTATCTTCTCTCCTTCTAAAATGATTGTATTCTAGCACTCCTAAACCCACAGAAAGACACTTATCTTCTCTCTTTCTAAAATGATTGTATTCTTCTAAAATGATTGTATTCTAGCACTCCTAAACCCACAGAAAGACACTTATCTTCTCTCCTTCTAAAATGATTGTATTCTAGCACTCCTAAACCCACAGAAAGACACTTATCTTCTCTCCTTCTAAAATGATTGTATTCTAGCACTCCTAAACCCACAGAAAGACACTTATCTTCTCTCCTTCTAAAATGATTGTATTCTAGCACTCCTAAACCCACAGAAAGACACTTATCTTCTCTCCTTCTAAAATGATTGTATTCTAGCACTCCTAAACCCACAGAAAGACACTTATCTTCTCTCCTTCTAAAATGATTGTATTCTAGCACTCCTAAACCCACAGAAAGACACTTATCTTCTCTCCTTCTAAAATGATTGTATTCTAGCACTCCTAAACCCACAGAAAGACACTTATCTTCTCTCCTTCTAAAATGATTGTATTCTAGCACTCCTAAACCCACAGAAAGACACTTATCTTCTCTCCTTCTAAAATGATTGTATTCTAGCACTCCTAAACCCACAGAAAGACACTTATCTTCTCTCCTTCTAAAATGATTGTATTCTAGCTCTCATAAACCCACAGAAAGACACTTATCTTCTCTCTTTCTAAAATGATTGTATTCTAGCTCTCATGAACCCACAGAAAGACACTTATCTTCTCTCCTTCTAAAATGATTGTATTCTAGCACTCCTAAACCCACAGAAAGACACTTATCTTCTCTCCTTCTAAAATGATTGTATTCTAGCACTCCTAAACCCACAGAAAGACACTTATCTTCTCTCCTTCTAAAATGATTGTATTCTAGCACTCCTAAACCCACAGAAAGACACTTATCTTCTCTCCTTCTAAAATGATTGTATTCTAGCACTCCTAAACCCACAGAAAGACACTTATCTTCTCTCCTTCTAAAATGATTGTATTCTAGCACTCCTAAACCCACAGAAAGACACTTATCTTCTCTCCTTCTAAAATGATTGTATTCTAGCACTCCTAAACCCACAGAAAGACACTTATCTTCTCTCCTTCTAAAATGATTGTATTCTAGCACTCCTAAACCCACAGAAAGACACTTATCTTCTCTCTTTCTAAAATGATTGTATTCTAGCACTCCTAAACCCACAGAAAGACACTTATCTTCTCTCCTTCTAAAATGATTGTATTCTAGCTCTCCTAAACCCACAGAAAGACACTTATCTTCTCTCCTTCTAAAATGATTGTATTCTAGCACTCCTAAACCCACAGAAAGACACTTATCTTCTCTCCTTCTAAAATGATTGTATTCTAGCACTCCTAAACCCACAGAAAGACACTTATCTTCTCTCCTTCTAAAATGATTGTATTCTAGCACTCCTAAACCCACAGAAAGACACTTATCTTCTCTCCTTCTAAAATGATTGTATTCTAGCACTCCTAAACCCACAGACAGGCACTTATCTTCTCTCCTTCTAAAATGATTGTATTCTAGCTCTCCTAAACCCACAGAAAGACACTTATCTTCTCTCCTTCTAAAATGATTGTATTCTAGCACTCCTAAACCCACAGAAAGACACTTATCTTCTCTCCTTCTAAAATGATTGTATTCTAGCACTCCTAAACCCACAGAAAGACACTTATCTTCTCTCCTTCTAAAATGATTGTATTCTAGCTCTCCTAAACCCACAGAAAGACACTTATCTTCTCTCCCTCTAAACTATTTGTATTCTAGCACTCATAAACCCACAGAAAGACACTTATCTTCTCTCCTTCTAAAATGATTGTATTCTAGCACTCCTAAACCCACAGAAAGACACTTATCTTCTCTCCTTCTAAAATGATTGTATTCTAGCACTCCTAAACCCACAGAAAGACACTTATCTTCTCTCCTTCTAAAAAATGATTGTATTCTAGCACTCCTAAACCCACAGAAAGACACTTATCTTCTCTCCTTCTAAAATGATTGTATTCTAGCACTCCTAAACCCACAGAAAGACACTTATCTTCTCTCCTTCTAAAATGATTGTATTCTAGCACTCCTAAACCCACAGAAAGACACTTATCTTCTCTCCTTCTAAAATGATTGTATTCTAGCTCTCCTAAACCCACAGAAAGACACTTATCTTCTCTCCTTCTAAAATGATTGTATTCTAGCACTCCTAAACCCACAGAAAGACACTTATCTTCTCTCCTTCTAAAATGATTGTATTCTAGCACTCCTAAACCCACAGAAAGACAATTATCTTCTCTCCTTCTAAAATGATTGTATTCTAGCACTCCTAAACCCACAGAAAGACACTTATCTTCTCTCCTTCTTCTTCTCTCCTTCTAAAATGATTGTATTCTAGCACTCCTAAACCCACAGAAAGACACTTATCTTCTCTCCTTCTAAAATGATTGTATTCTAGCACTCCTAAACCCACAGAAAGACACTTATCTTCTCTCCTTCTAAAATGATTGTATTCTAGCACTCCTAAACCCACAGAAAGACACTTATCTTCTCTCCTTCTAAAATGATTGTATTCTAGCACTCCTAAACCCACAGAAAGACACTTATCTTCTCTCTTTCTAAAATGATTGTATTCTAGCTCTCCTCAACCCACAGAAAGACACTTATCTTCTCTCCTTCTAAAATGATTGTATTCTAGCACTCCTAAACCCACAGAAAGACACTTATCTTCTCTCCTTCTAAAATGATTGTATTCTAGCACTCCTAAACCCACAGAAAGACACTTATCTTCTCTCCTTCTAAAATGATTGTATTCTAGCACTCCTAAACCCACAGAAAGACACTTATCTTCTCTCCTTCTAAAATGATTGTATTCTAGCACTCCTAAACCCACAGAAAGACACTTATCTTCTCTCCTTCTAAAATGATTGTATTCTAGCACTCCTAAACCCACAGAAAGACACTTATCTTCTCTCCTTCTAAAATGATTGTATTCTAGCACTCCTAAACCCACAGAAAGACACTTATCTTCTCTCCTTCTAAAATGATTGTATTCTAGCACTCCTAAACCCACAGAAAGACACTTATCTTCTCTCCTTCTAAAATGATTGTATTCTAGCACTCCTAAACCCACAGAAAGACACTTATCTTCTCTCCTTCTAAAATGATTGTATTCTAGCACTCCTAAACCCACAGAAAGACACTTATCTTCTCTCCTTCTAAAATGATTGTATTCTAGCACTCCTAAACCCACAGAAAGACACTTATCTTCTCTCCTTCTAAAATGATTGTATTCTAGCACTCCTAAACCCACAGAAAGACACTTATCTTCTCTCCTTCTAAAATGATTGACTTATCTTCTCCTAAACTAAACCCACAGAAAGACACTTATCTTCTCTCCTTCTAAAATGATTGTATTCTAGCACTCCTAAACCCACAGAAAGACACTTATCTTCTCTCCTTCTAAAATGATTGTATTCTAGCACTCCTAAACCCACAGAAAGACACTTATCTTCTCTCCTTCTAAAATGATTGTATTCTAGCACTCCTAAACCCACAGAAAGACACTTATCTTCTCTCCTTCTAAAATGATTGTATTCTAGCACTCCTAAACCCACAGAAAGACACTTATCTTCTCTCCTTCTAAAATGATTGTATTCTAGCACTCCTAAACCCACAGAAAGACACTTATCTTCTCTCCTTCTAAAATGATTGTATTCTAGCACTCCTAAACCCACAGAAAGACACTTATCTTCTCTCCTTCTAAAATGATTGTATTCTAGCACTCCTAAACCCACAGAAAGACACTTATCTTCTCTCCTTCTAAAATGATTGTATTCTAGCACTCCTAAACCCACAGAAAGACACTTATCTTCTCTCCTTCTAAAATGATTGTATTCTAGCACTCCTAAACCCACAGAAAGACACTTATCTTCTCTCCTTCTAAAATGATTGTATTCTAGCTCTCCTAAACCCACAGAAAGACACTTATCTTCTCTCCTTCTAAAATGATTGTATTCTAGCACTCCTAAACCCACAGAAAGACACTTATCTTCTCTCCTTCTAAAATGATTGTATTCTAGCACTCCTAAACCCACAGAAAGACACTTATCTTCTCTCCTTCTAAAATGATTGTAATTCGAGAACTCATATAACAAGAGATATATACTTATCTTCTCTCTTTCTAAAATGATTGTATTCTAGCACTCATAAACCCACAGAAAGACACTTATCTTCTCTCCTTCTAAAATGATTGTATTCTAGCACTCCTATCTTCTCTCTCTTCTAAAATGCTCCTAAACCCACAGAAAGACACTTATCTTCTCTCCTTCTAAAATGATTGTATTCTAGCACTCCTAAACCCACAGAAAGACACTTATCTTCTCTCCTTCTAAAATGATTGTATTCTAGCACTCATAAACCAACAGAAAGACACTTATCTTCTCTCCTTCTAAAATGATTGTATTCTAGCACTCCTAAACCCACAGAAAGACACTTATCTTCTCTCCTTCTAAAATGATTGTATTCTAGCACTCCTAAACCCACAGAAAGACACTTATCTTCTCTCCTTCTAAAATGATTGTATTCTAGCACTCCTAAACCCACAGAAAGACACTTATCTTCTCTCCTTCTAAAATGATTGTATTCTAGCACTCCTAAACCCACAGAAAGACACTTATCTTCTCTCCTTCTAAAATGATTGTATTCTAGCACTCCTAAACCCACAGAAAGACACTTATCTTCTCTCCTTCTAAAATGATTGTATTCTAGCACTCCTAAACCCACAGAAAGACACTTATCTTCTCTCCTTCTAAAATGATTGTATTCTAGCTCACCTAAACCCACAGAAAGACACTTATCTTCTCTCCTTCTAAAATGATTGTATTCTAGCACTCCTAAACCCACAGAAAGACACTTAGTATTCTAGCACTCCTAAACCCACAGAAAGACACTTATCTTCTCTCCTTCTAAAATGATTGTATTCTAGCACTCCTAAACCCACAGAAAGACACTTATCTTCTCTCCTTCTAAAATGATTGTATTCTAGCTCTCATAAACCCACAGAAAGACACTTATCTTCTCTCTTTCTAAAATGATTGTATTCTAGCTCTCCTAAACCCACAGAAAGACACTTATCTTCTCTCCTTCTAAAATGATTGTATTCTAGCACTCCTAAACCCACAGAAAGACACTTATCTTCTCTCTTTCTAAACTATTTGTATTCTAGCACTCCTAAACCCACAGAAAGACACTTATCTTCTCTCCTTCTAAAATGATGTATTACTTCATCAAATATGAACATTGACCGCTCACATTTATCCACACTTGATTCAATCAACTCCTTCAACTTGTCCTGATAGAAATAAATTTTCTATACAATTGATTTCATTAAAGTTATTGTGGCATTTAAAGTGACCAGCAAATTGCTTCCTTTATTTCTCATCCCTTTACTCCAATTATCTTATTACATTTATATACCATGTTATATAAAATTGTAGTCATCACTCATAGCAGATGGAAAGCACAATGGGCCGTAATGTGGGAGAAAACTAGAGCATGTTTTAAGAATACATCTCTTTTATAACAAGCTTTTTGTCGAACTGTCAAAATTTGACCACTTGGGAAAAAAAGGAAGAAATAAAACTCTTCTAGAACCTGAAGTCCAGAACAGGTAAGCAAAATCCAGCACAGGAGTAAACCCCAGGCAACTAATGTGTCTTTTATGTGACTCAATAACCAATATTCAAATTTTACATGTACAATATTTTGAACAATTTTGATCACTAACCTTATACAGAGGCACCATCTCCTTGTGTGGGAACTCCTTTGTTGCAGATATCAGATGCACATATTTACTTTTCATGCCTTTCCTGTAAATACTCTCAGCTATGATCTTGCTGACAAAGTTTTTGCCAGTTCCTGTACCCCCGTGGAAGGAGATTGCCAGGGCTTTACTCGGGTTGGCTGAACGGGTATGGGCACGTAAGTGATTGATCACTGCCAATTTACTTAGGTGCTGACCATACACTTGTGAGTCCAAGGACAACTTCAGGGCTACAGTACAAGATTATGTTTATAATTTACATGTCAGTTTACAAAAACACACATGTGTTCACCATACACTTGTGAGTCCAAGGACAACTATAGAGCTACAGTAAAAGAACATAGAAATTACCGACATGTAAATAGAATCTTAAAATTCAAATTTGATAAAAATGATAATTGATAAAAAATGAGAACAAGATCAACAAAAACAAAGCAATCAGGTATACATATGAGTATCGGACATGTTTAAAATCAAATCAAACAAAAGATTCACACAATGACTCCTGGTAATGTACAAGGAGAATAAAAAAAAATGTGTTCTGGGAGGGTAAGTGTCTTCTGCTGCATCAACGATACCAACCATGTGAATTTTGGTCAATCCAAGTAAGTAATGTAACCATCCAAAATGAGAACATAGTAAGCAACAACAGAACAACCAGGTATTCTAACGAGTCAAACACATCCAACTTCATACACCTCAGAGAAATCGCATATTTCTTAATGAGATAATTATAACAACTCTCAAGTTTCTCCCAAAAATTGTGCTATATTTGAGCAGGCCCCACCTTATTGATGTAACGGTGTTAATCTCTAATGTAAATATCATGCTACGTATTCATAATTTACAGTAATCCTATGTTAACTTTTAAGTGCACATAAGAGTTATCTTTATAACACCTCATTACTCATTCCTTTATTACTTTTTAGAAAAATTATGTTGCATTGTTCAGCAATACCTGATCCATTCTACGCGTACACATACATCAATGCCAAATTTACCAATTCTCGATTGACCAGGGGTTTCAATCTCATTCACTCATTGCACCCCTGGAACATTCCATGGCAAAATTGAAGGCACAAGCGAAGTACAATGTATTTTGATCACTCTAGTGTGGGTTTCTGAAGAAAAAACATTGACCAACCACAAACTGACTTGCTCACCTGTAGATTACTAAAGAGCAACACTTGACTTCAATGCTAAAACAACATACTATTATGTAACCCCAAAATTCACTTCATATACATCAAAGGATCAAAACCAGTCTTCTCGCCTTATCCCAAAAGGTATCAAACATGGAATCTTCAGTTTTGCCAAGAAATGTTCTAGAGGTATGGAAAGTGATGGTGAGCGTAACCCCTGGAGTATCAAGGATGCTTTTGTCAGAGAGAGAGAGAGAGAGAGAAATTTGGTCAAATCACTCATTCAGTTTCCCTGCATGATAGGAAACTTTTTGGTTATAAATACAAAATACATTGTATAATACATAGAAAAAAGGAATTTACAAAATTATAATCTAATCTATTACCTGTCTCATTCAACATTATGTGGCGATCAACGCAGCATTCAGAGAAGAACCGACATTTGACAGGGTTGTAAGCAGCTAAGAATGTGGCAGAGATTCCAGCCCCCACGGCAGTGAAAAAGGATACTGGTTCCAGACAGGTGGCACTTTGTACTGTCAGGATTAGGCTAAGCCACCATAAAACATTATCACACTGGAAGGATATTACTGCCATACTGAACACTGAAACCATAGTGAAATGAAATCATCAATTTTCGATACCCATGTTATTTCTCATATACAATCACTATCACAAACAAGTACATGCACATTATACTGTAATATACATTTGAAATTTGTGCCAAGTCCCTATGACCGCATCCATCATTGTGTCAACTTGTACCTACACAAGTATAGTGGGCTTATGTAGGTATCATCCTCATCTTTTCCAAAAGACAGATGTGGAACTTTTCATTTGAAAACTTTGTTTCAAAACGTATAATTAACTCAGGAACACATTTTTGAATCACTGTGTACATGTCAAGTCTAACTTGGTGAGTACCACTTAAGTTTCTATCCAGGGTTTGACCTTTTTCATTTATATAGGCTGCCCATTGGTTTGCCTTATGTGGTAGTGTAGTTCTGTATCAGTAAGAATTTTATTCCTGGACAGACAGGATCATCAAAAATTAAAACCCATCCTTCCCACCCTGAAAATTTAGTCTCAGTTAGGTGTAATGGCTTCAAATTAATACATATATTTATTGGGTGTTCTTTTTGTGTTGCATTATGCGCTTGTAAAAATAAAATATGCATTTTTCTAATACTTACCAATGTTCAATTAAACTGCTATAATTTGAATGCATGTGTGATAGATGCCGTTTAGTGTTTGTGTGTAAATATGTCATATTTTTTGCTTGTACTTAAGCGAAATTTGTTCTGCTTATGTGGATATGTACATGTACAAACTCCTTCGCCTGTGTGATGAAAATGTTATTCATCATAAGCTTTCACAAACATGGGCTTTCAGGTTTTCGTTTAGGGTGTTTATTAACTTATATGCCATGTTGATTTCTTATAAACTAACCAAAACAGTATTTCAGTTTCTGTGATATGTAAATTGGAGGTAATTAGGAATACATTATACCTGAATAAGTACAGTCCAATGTACATGTGTACGTGGATTGTAAGTACAGTATTGGGATAAACACCGCACACTTTCAACACACGTAGAATATGTGAAAGTCCCCCAAACCCCTACATCCAAAAATGAAATATAAACTTAAAGCAGACAAATGCATTTACCTTGAATATCTTACGCTGCTACACACGACTGTTCTATCGTCATCCTCTCCCGCGCTTAATGTAATCGTAGTGCAAATTGAAAGTAGAGATCATGATCATATCGCCATCGCTCAGACGCTTTATTTTGTCATGTGACGCGTTAGTCATGATCCCAAGTTAAAACAACAAAAACAACAACAGGTAAGTTTTGCTGATAAGATATGATATCGTACTCTACCAACACCTAATGTATTTCAGCAGATGCTTGAGTAAGTTTCTGTCTGCTTTTTAAGCATCATTCCAAAATATATTCAAAATAAATCTCTAACATGTCGTTAAGCATTTTCAAATTTCTACACACTAGCTATATCTAGCTTGTAATAGAACACGAATGACGTATCCCTGCAGCCTACCAATTAAAAGGTACATGTTCAATGTCCAAGCTCGCGTGATCAGTCCAAGCAACCGTACTCGGCACATGTTGTTGGATTTCTTTTTTCAAAAACAAAGCAAAAAGAAAAAAATTTAATGAATGCTGTGGTTGCCTTATAAGGATTAGCTGGATATAACTTGTCATTTACATTCGACTAGTGTACAAATACATAGGCACAAAATGTGATTATAATGTATGTACAATTTATATATTTTTGCAATCTTATATATGTACTGTTTGATTTTCATACTTCTTTTGTGTATGTACAATGTATATGTAACCCTGGTAAATACTAGCCGCAATATATCACTTGGCTAGAGAGAACTTCTCATAAGCTTGATTGGTTGAGCGTCCGACTAATAAGATTCCTAGCGGAGGCAATGAAAAATATAATGACATCGAGCTCTGTAACATTGGCGCCCATGTAGGGACCTGGGAATAGTACATAGCCATGCCCCACCAGCACCACTGTAACCCAAGGAAACTCAAGAACAAGTTATTTCCTGAAGGGGAAGTATGTAACACTGATAAATAGTAGCCGCAATATACCACTCAGCTAGAAAGAGCCAATTCTTAAGCTTGATTGGTTGAGCGTCAGACTATTGTTCATGTATTCCTTGTATTATATTAAATCAGGATAATACAGTATGTTAATTAGAGTTAATGGTGGTAGGAAAATGTTGATTTCCATTTGAAAAAAACTGTATGAAGTTTCCATTATATGCATATATACACTGATGTTATATTTCAGATTTTGATTTCGATCTCATGCATGATGGAAGGTTGGATTGGTAACACTGACATTGAGATTCAAAATACGACTACAATATCTCCAACAACCTTATCTCCAAATATGACAACTTTATCATCACTTGTGACTACAATATCTCCAAATATAACAACTTTATTTCCAAATGTGACAACCATTCCTCCTGACTGTGACACATCACCAGCTTTTGTGGGATACATAGCTGCTGCTGTTGCTGTCCTTTGCTATGGAACCAACTTTGCCCCTGTGAAGAAGTTTGAAACTGGAGATGGTGCAAGCTTTTTTTTCTTTTTCTTTTTTTTCTTTTTAATTTGACATTTAGTTTATATGCTTTTACATTCACTTGATCAGATGCACATATTGTAAATAAGAAAGTTTCATTTATTTTCTCGCTTGTTAGATTTTATTTGTCAAAGTTGATCTTTATTGTAGTATATCATTATCATCACCAAGGTACAACAGAAAGTTTGATAGTAAAATTGATTTTGCTGAAATCTTGTATTTCTTATTTTCATTAGTAAATGAAAGTAACTTGTATAGATGATCTTCATATTGCTCTATATTCAATCTGCACGATTTGTTAAATCTGTAACAAGTATTAACCAAAGTTTGCTTTGCTACAGGAATGTTTTTCCAGTGGATTGTATGCAGTGCCATTCTGCTTTCTGGCATGGTTTTACAAATAGTTAGACAAAGCACATTTTACCCAATAGTAATGGTGGGAGGAGTCCTCTGGGAAACAGGTAAGCTTTTCAATAAGTATATACAAAAGTGAGGAGGGATGTTATTTGCAGGAAGGAACCTGTTTGTGGTTAAATAAGATAATAGCTGGACCTGAGTAAAGTGTAGGAAAAAGTCTGATATCCATAATGAGTTACAGATCTATCATATAAACTATAAAGTGTGATTACATTTGATCACATGTGTTTGTAATTTGAACAAGACAGAAAATTCAAAAGAGGTTGGGAAAAAATGTTCATGTCACTTCATTAGGTGTATTCATAATGAAAGAAGTGATGGCTGGACCTCCTATGTGCATATCCATGTCAAGTACATATTTTGCTACGATATTGAAACTGACTTTCAGCTTTTGACTTGACACTCTGGTACACATGACTGATCTGTATAACAGGTAACATCATGGTTGTTCCCATCATCAAAACTATTGGACTAGGCCTGGGACTGTGTATCTGGGGCATGGTCAACCTCCTCAGTGGTTGGGCCACAGGAAGGTTAGTGTTTCCTCAGTCATTTTGAATTACCCATATATTTGGTAAATGTCATTTGAATATGAGCGTTTGAGTTTGGTGGAGAATGTGGTCCATTGAACAGTCAATGAAGTTGGTGGTACCGAGTTATTGCTTCCAGCCTCTTGCCATTCATGTCTGTAACAACCATGAACTTTTCATCAATTTAAACAGCAGATAGCTCAAACAAGAAGATACAAAAACAAGTATTTTCCATCTGATTGTGGTACAAGTATAGTTCAATATCCACCTTTTCTGGTTTGATTACAATTCAGTTTATTTGTACTCATCAAGTTTGAGATGGTACATACACATAGCCAATGATAGCAATGTTGTCATTGTACAACATATAGAGATAAGATTTCAGAGAAGCTTTTTTTTGAAAAGTTGGCAATATATATACACTGCATTGATTAATTATAGAATAATTCCTCCAAATGAGTCTGTAAAAACTAACCTACAGAGGGGATGTTGAGGTTTGTTGATGAAATTTATTGTAATCTTACACAATATTCAGTTTTGAAGAAGACTTGATATACCATTATATAGCTCAGACACAAACAACACATATTTGTTCTATTCACAGGTTTGGTTTATTTGGTATTGACAAAGAGGTTCCAGACGATCCCACCATGAACTATGTTGGTGTAGCAGTGGCAGTTTCCAGGTGACTGAGTGTACAGATAGTGTCAATACTTCCCTAACATGTAACCCGTAACAACTGATAAGATTTTCTGGTTTCTATAAAAGACCGTCTTATGAAATCTCCAAACTACATGTACGCATGTTGAATATCATTTTGATGCGAATTTCATCAAACATATCTATCAAATGACTAAATACTTTGTCAATCAGTAAATATTTTGATAATAACTTGTGTGTTACAGTGCTGTGGTGTTTTCCTTTGTGAAGAGCACAGTAAAGGCCCCAACTGATGGTGACCAGGCCGACCAAGAGCAGGAAGCTGATGCCTTAATATCAAGTGTGAGTATTAATGTGTAACATCCTTAAAAACCATCAGGAAGGTAAACAAGAAACACAGAAAATCTAACTAAATAATATCCTTATTTTCATTTCCATATTTCCAGTTGTGTAATTTGAAAATGATTTCTTTAATGAACATAAAGCTAAATGTTACCAAATCTGTTTAAAATGTCAATATCACATGGTATTTTCTCTCTTTTGATAGCTATTTAATGAAGTAATGAATAGAAACCATTGTTTTCCTTGAATTGCAGACATTCGGTAACCCAAATGATTCCTTGTACTCGACAGCAAGTGGACAGGAGGATTTACTGTTTAATAGACCTGCAGTATGTACAGAAATTATCTCCACACTTTGTATATCAAATATTGATTTATCTAACAATAAGGCAACACCTGTCAAACCATGTATACATTTATATATATTCATTGTTCTGTATTAAGCCCATTTGTGAGAAATGGCCAAGCCCATCCCCTAACTTTGAGTAAGAAGTAATGTGTTTCCCCTTGGGGCCCTGTGATAAGCTCATACCCTGACTATCAGAAAGAAGTATAGTGTGTTCCTTTTGGGTTCAGCAATAAGCCCATGAACTGACATTGACTATGAAGTGATGTGTTGCCCCTTTGGGTCCTGTAATAAGCCTTCACCATGACTTTGACTAAGAAGTGATGTGTTGCCCCTTTGGGTCCTGTAATAAGCCTTCACCATGACTTTGACTAAGAAGTGATGTGTTGCCCCTTTTGGTCCTGTAATAAGCCTTCACCATGACTACGACTAAGAAGTGATGTGTTGCCCCTTTGGGTCCTGTAATAAGCCTTCACCATGACTTTGACTAAGAAGTGATGTGTTGCCCCTTTGGGTCCTGTAATAAGCCTTCACCATGACTTTGACTAAGAGTGATGTGTTGCCCCTTTGGGTCCTGTAATAAGCCTTCACCATGACTTTGACTAAGAAGTGGTGTGTTGCCCCTATGGGTCCTGTAATAAGCCTTCACCATGACTTTGAGTAAGAAGTGATGTGTTGCCCCTTTGGGCCCTGTAATAAGTTTGCATCCTGACTTTGACTAAGAAGTGATGTGTTGCCCCTTTGGGCCCTCTAATAAGCCTACACACTACCCTGACTTACTAAGAAGTGATGTGTTGCCATACTTGGCCCTGTAATAAGACCACATCTTGACCTTGAGTCAGACATGGGGTATTTGCTCCCTGGGATTATTGCAGGATAAACATGATAGTAATAATGTTATGAAATTATGAACGTCAATTAAATGTTGTTTACATTTCAGAAGTCCATAAATGGTTTTGGCAATGAGTCTCGTGATGGTACCTTCCTTGACCGACTTTCCCCAAACATGAAGAGATTTGTGTAGGTATATCTGAGTTAACAGTTGCATGGGTAAGGTACTTATCATGGATGATATCTGATTTACAGGAAGTTGTCTTCTATATGAGTCTTCAGTAATATTTAATGTGTTCTATAGGTGTTACAGATTGAAGTGTTTCACAGCAATGATATTATGACATTGTTTTCAAATACATCGTCAGTATTTGTAATAATAGCAACACATAATCATGTAACAGTTGAGAAATATGTTTCTGTAATTAGCTCTGTGTTTGGTTACAGGGATACTTTACTGTAAATAGCTCTATGTTTGGTTACAGGGATATTTTACTGTAAACAGCTCTATGTTTGGTTACAGGGATATTTTACTGTAAACAGCTCTATGTTTGGTTACAAGGAGATTTTACTGTAAACAGCTCTATGTTTAGTTACAGGGATACTTTACTGTAAATAGCTCTATGTTTGGTTACAGGGATATTTTACTGTAAACAGCTCTATGTTAGGTTACAGGGATATTTTACTGTAAACAGCTCTATGTTTGGTTACAAGGAGATTTTACTGTAAACAGCTCTATGTTTGGTTACAAGGAGATTTTACTGTAAACAGCTCTATGTTTGGTTATAGGGATATTTTACTGTAAACAGCTCTATGTTTGGTTACAAGGAGATTTTACTGTAAACAGCTCTATGTTTGGTTACAAGGAGATTTTACTGTAAACAGCTCTATGTTTGGTTACAAGGAGATTTTACTGTAAACAGCTCTATGTTTGGTTACAAGGAGATTTTACTGTAAACAGCTCTATGTTTGGTTATAGGGATATTTTACTGTAAACAGCTCTATGTTTGGTTACAAGGAGATTTTACTGTAAACAGCTCTATGTTTGGTTACAGGGATATTTTACTGTAAACAGCTCTATGTCTGGTTACAGGGATATTTTACTGTAAACAGCTCTATGTTTGGTTACAAGGAGATTTTACTGTAAACAGCTCTATGTTTAGTTACAGGGATACTTCACTGTAAACAGCTCTATGTTTGGTTACAGGGATATTTTACTGTAAATAGCTCTATGTTTGGTTACAGGGATACTTTACTGTAAACAGCTCTATGTTTGGTTACAGGGATATTTTACTGTAAATAGCTCTATGTTTGGTTACAGGGATATTTTACTGTAAACAGCTCTATGTTTGGTTACAGGGATATTTTACTGTAAACAGCTCTATGTTTGGTTACAGGGATATTTTACTGTAAACAGCTCTATGTTTGGTTACAGGGGTATTTTACTGTAAACAGCTCTATGTTTGGTTACAGGGATATTTTACTGTAAACAGCTCTGTGTTGGTTACAGGGATATTTTACTGTAAATAGCTCTGTGTTTGTTTAGTTACAGGGATATTTTACTGTAAATAGCTCTATGTTTGGTTACAGGGATATTTTACTGTAAACAGCTCTATGTTTGGTTACAGGGATATTTTACTGTTAGCTCTATGTTTGGTTACAGGGATATTTTACTGTAAACAGCTCTATGTTTGGTTACAGGGATATTTTACTGTAAACAGCTCTATGTTTGGTTACAGGGATATTTTACTGTAAATAGCTCTATGTTTGGTTATAGGGATATTTTACTGTAAACAGCTCTATGTTTAGTTACAGGGATATTTTACTGTAAATAGCTCTATGTTTGGTTACAGGGATATTTTACTGTAAATAGCTCCATGTTTAGTTACAGGGATACTTTACTGTAAACAGCTCTATGTTTGGTTACAGGGATATTTTACTGTAAATAGCTCTATGTTTGGTTACAGGGATATTTTACTGTAAATAGCTCTATGTTTGGTTACAGGGATATTTTACTGTAAACAGCTCTATGTTTAGTTACAGGGATACTTTACTGTAAATAGCTCTGTGTTTAGTTACAGGGATAGTTACAGGGATATTTTACTGTAAATAGCTCTATGTTTGGTTACAGGGATATTTTACTGTAAATAGCTCTATGTTTGGTTACAGGGATATTTTACTGTAAACAGCTCTATGTTTGGTTACAGGGATATTTTACTGTAAACAGCTCTATGTTTGGTTACAGGGATATTTTACTGTAAACAGCTCTATGTTTGGTTACAGGGATATTTTACTGTAAACAGCTCTATGTTTGGTTACAGGGATATTTTACTGTAAACAGCTCTATGTTTGGTTACAGGGATATTTTACTGTAAACAGCTCTATGTTTGGTTACAGGGATATTTTACTGTAAACAGCTCTATGTTTGGTTACAGGGAGATTTTACTGTAAACAGCTCTATGTTTGGTTACAGGGATATTTTACTGTAAACAGCTCTATGTTACAGGGATATTTTACTGTAAACAGCTCTATGTTTGGTTACAGGGATATTTTACTGTAAACAGCTCTATGTTTGGTTACAGGGATATTTTACTGTAAACAGCTCTATGTTTGGTTACAGGGATATTTTACTGTAAACAGCTCTATGTTTGGTTACAGGGATATTTTACTGTAAACAGCTCTATGTTTGGTTACAGGGGTATTTTACTGTAAACAGCTCTATGTTTGGTTACAGGGATATTTTACTGTAAACAGCTCTATGTTTGGTTACAGGGATATTTTACTGTAAACAGCTCTGTGTCTGGTTACAGGGATATTTTCCTGTAAATAGCTCTGTGTTTAGTTACAGGGATAGTTACAGGGATATTTTACTGTAAATAGCTCTATGTTTGGTTACAGGGATATTTTACTGTAAACAGCTCTATGTTTGGTTACAGGGATATTTTACTGTAAACAGCTCTATGTTTGGTTACAGGGATATTTTACTGTAAACAGCTCTATGTTTGGTTACAGGGATATTTTACTGTAAACAGCTCTATGTTTGGTTACTATGTTTGGTTATAGGGATATTTTACTGTAAACAGCTCTATGTCTGGTTACAGGGATATTTTACTGTAAACAGCTCTATGTTTGGTTACAGGGATATTTTACTGTAAACAGCTCTATGTTTGGTTACAAGGAGATTTTACTGTAAACAGCTCTATGTTTGGTTATAGGGATATTTTACTGTAAACAGCTCTATGTCTGGTTACAGGGATATTTTACTGTAAACAGCTCTATGTCTGGTTACAGGGATATTTTACTGTAAACAAACAGCTCTATGTTTGGTTACAGGGATATTTTACTGTAAATAGCTCTATGTTTGGATACTTTACTGTACATGTTTGGATATTTTACTGTAAATAGCTCTAAACATGTTTGGTTACAGGGATATTTTACTGTTTAAATAGCTCTGTGTTAGTTACAGGGGTATTTTAGTTACAGGGATATTTTACTGTAAACAGCTCTATGTTTGGTTACAGGGATATTTTACTGTAAATAGCTCTATGTTTGGTTACAGGGATATTTTACTGTAAATAGCTCTATGTTTGGTTACAGGGATATTTTACTGTAAATAGCTCTATGTTTGGTTACAGGGATATTTTACTGTAAATAGCTCTGTGTTTAGTTACAGGGATATTTTACTGTAAATAGCTCTATGTTTAGTTACAGGGATAGTTACAGGGATACTTTACTGTAAATAGCTCTGTGTTTGGTTACAGGGATATTTTACTGTAAATAGCTCTATGTTTGGTTACAGGGATACTTTACTGTAAATAACTCTGTGTTTGGTTACAGGGATATTTTACTGTAAATAGCTCTATGTTTGGTTACAGGGATATTTTACTGTAAATAGCTCTGTGTTTAGTTACAGGGATATTTTACTGTAAATAGCTCTATGTTTAGTTACAGGGATACTTTACTGTAAATAGCTCTGTGTTTGGTTACAGGGATATTTTACTGTAAATAGCTCTATGTTTGGGAACAGGGATATTTTACTGTAAATAGCTCTATGTTTGGTTACAGGGATATTTTACTGTAAATAGCTCTATGTTTAGTTACAGGGATACTTTACTGTAAATAGCTCTGTGTTTAGTTACAGGGATAGTTACAGGGATATTTTACTGTAAATAGCTCTATGTTTAGTTACAGGGACATTTTACTGTAAACAGCTTTGTTTGGTTACAGGGATATTTTACTGTAAACAGCTCTGTGTTTGGTTACAGGGATACTTTACTGTAGTTAGCTCTATGTTTAGTTACAGGGATACTTTACTGTAAACAGCTCTATGTTTAGTTACAGGGATATTTTACTGTAAACAGCTCTATGTTTGGTTACAGGGATATTTTACTGTAAACAGCTCTGTGTTTGGTTACAGGGATATTTTACTGTAAACAGCTCTATGTTTGGGAACAGGGACATTTTACTGTAAATAGCTCTATGTTTGGTTACAGGGGTATTTTACTGTGGGTATCTGTTTTTTTACAGGGGTATTTTACTATCAGTTATATCAGGACTTCTGTATGGACAGATCTTCACACCGTCCCTGTATGTCCAAAGTGACAGTCAAACTTATCCTTCAGCTAGTAAAAACGGTATGTATATTCAGTGATTACACTTTTTTTGTTATCTCAGTTTTTTCTATGAAATTTACCTTTTAATGTTGAAGAAAGCATACTTCATTCATAGGTTATGTTCCAGATGTATTTCATGTATCGATCGTGGCACTACTGAAGGAGAGATTTTTTCAGTCCTCATATAAAACGCTATTAACTTTGGCCACTTTGCAAAGAAAAAAGAATGCAAATATGTGATTATCACCTTTTAATACATACTTAGAGTCAGTACTCATTAGTGATGCTAAGGGCCTTAAATTTGCAGCCCATGAGACAACTGAGGAAAACACAAAGTGATCGAAAGAAATGTCAAAATCTTACTAGGAACGTGCACCATCCACATAATTCAATAAATTTTGTAATTTCTTTTATATATCGGCAATTTTTAAACAACGTCCAGTACATATGTACAAACATAAGTGATGGATGTCATTATTTTTTGTTGAAATGCTAAAATTCAATGCCATACTAAATGAGTATGGCATCGAATCATATTAATCAATCACAATGTACTGACATTTAATATAAGGTAACCATGACTGATCTAGACACCAATCCTAATAAAATCAGTTCTTCATATATTGTCTTATTTCCTGGAGTAAATGCATTTTTCTGGTAATGTATATAATTTGATAAAAATGTTATTTGATCATATTGATTTTGCTTTAAGTAAGTCCTCATTAAACTTGATCTTTTGATGAATCCCTCTGTTGTAAACTTGTCTTCCAGCTATCAACATCCATTACGTACTTGTTTGTCTCTTTCTTTACATAGAATGAACTTCGTTACAGGTCTGGATTACGTATTTGCCTGTTTCTGTGGGATCTACTTATCCAGTACTGTGTATTTCTGTATATACGCCCTAATCAGGAAGAACCAGCCTCGTGTGTATCCTCGCGTCATTGTACCAGGAATCATCTCGGGCATTATGTGGGCAGCAGCCACAGCCTCCTGGTTCCTCGCCAACAGGATCCTGTCAGAACCAGTAGCTTTCCCTATCATTACCACACTTCCCTCTGTGGTGGCCTCAATTCTCGGCATCTTCGTCTTTAAGGAAATCAGGGTAATTTCAAGAGATGTCACTGTCAATACATGGTTATCATTATAAAGATACTGTTAATCTGTATTGTATATACAAGACTATAGATTCATTCTAGATCTCAAGGCAGCAGTATGACTTGCCATATTGACCTAGAATCATCAATGTTTTGCATGCAAACTCTGATAAAAATTTACATAAATCAGCTGGATTGTCATGATTTGAAAGAAGCTCTTGTAGAAAATAAAAATCCGAAGACAAAACTTTGACAATGTAATAAAGATGGCATGATAACATTCATTATAAGATTTCAAATGTGAATATAACCATTGAATGATTGTTCAGATTGTATTTATGGTCATCGACATTAATGCATTCTGAATGACAGATGCGTAAAGATGTCATATTATTTATTTGTCACTTATGATTAGTTTACTTTCATATTGACAATAAATACAATCTGTCAAACGGAATGTTCTTCTGTAGAGTCTCCATGGACTTTGAAATACAAATTTCATTTTAATATGGCATAAGATGATCAGTGATTAAAATTAAAAACAAAAATAATGCAGACATCTTCACATAACCATTGTTAAACTTACCTGTAAATAGTGCTTCTAATCAATTTTCTTGTATTTACAGGGAAAAAGAAATATACTAATATTACTGCTTGGATTTTGTATGGCTGGGTCTGGTGCAGTGTTAGCAGGATTATCAAAACACGGTAACAAGTGTCATCCCTAACACAAGACTTAACAATAAAAAGCAAAAGTTAACATATGTGGTGTTTGCTAGACCTCTCACATTATGTACAAAATGCAGTGGTCGATTCTGCCGTAAACAAGTGTCCTCTCAAATCACAACAGGCAATGACCTGAAGAAAAAGGTAGCAAAATATGGAATGTATTCATTGTGTCGGTGTGAATGAGAGAAAGTGTCTCGTCTAACATGAGACATTTCAACACAGTAATCATTACTACTGTGAATACATGGAATAGGAAACATTTCCATCACAAATACGAGGAGCATCTTTTCAAACATTGCAAGCTACAAGTCAAGGAACCACGGAAAGTAAACCCAATATACATGAGACACTGTAGTGAATGGATGGTAGTGGCTTATAACAAACTAAAAATGACTGAAGAATATGACGAGATGTCACAAACTGCAGCAGTGATTGTTGCGACCATGCAAATATTAAGTGTAAAGTCTGATGGAGCACATACAGAAATTATACATCTGTGATATTGACATGGAGTGTCGTTGATCCCCGGTGTGATGGTAGATCTGAGAAATCACTGTTGTTTTGATAATGTTTTGTATGAGATTTCATGACGCATGAATGTATATCGAGTATGACACATATGTACATACATGTATGTAGGAAACCTATGAAACATGCTGGTCCTGATTTTATTCTAGATCTTAACTGAACTTTTTATAATTTTTCAGTTGTAAAAGAACAAAACTAGGTATGAAAATAAACCTTAACCATTATTGTCTCAATAATCTGTTTAAATACTCCGACTATAATGAAACCTGTGGTGTAGGGCTGTGTTAATCTTGGTAATGTTCAACTTGTTTTAATCTTCAACTCAAGTACAGGATCACTGCTGACAAAAGGATTTTAAAGTTCAATTATAATTTATTTGAATTGTAACATTTCGTAAAAATGGTAATATGGATTGGGGCCACTCTGCATTTTGAAGTGTACCTGTAGGATGTCATCATGTCAATTTCTTCATGCCTAGCTACTGATCTTCATATCAGAAACATGTGAGGATAAACTATTATAAAGGAAGAAACCTAATATGTTGTCCAAGTCTCTGCAGACATTGTCAGTGAAGGAATTCGGGTGAATGTAACTATCACACATTTCTCTTCTATTTCATTGTAATGATAATACAGAACCAATAGGTGTTATTTAGAAATCACTGTTACACATTTACATTTCCATACATGTATGGGACGTAGAGTGACGTCACCAATAGACACCATCATATTGCCAAAGATCGGACTACCCGACGTTGTGTTATGACGACATTGTAATTTTTATATTGACTTTTATCTTAGTTTTTGTGACAAACTTATATCTTACTTTTATATACATTACAAGCATTGATGATTACCTCATTACGTTAATCTCCTCACTGAACCTCTTGTGAATCTTTTCTTACAATATTCTGTTCATAAGCTATACAATATACAGTATCTGTGAAATATGTAAATATGTTTTTTTCATTGGCATTTTTAATTTGGTTTTTTTACAATAAACACTTTCTTTGACAAAGTGTCTTAGTCAAGCTTGATTTGTTGATTATCTTAAACTCTCATCACTAGGATTAGTACTACAGGGGCAAAATCAATTACAGTGAAGGGAAGTTAGAGCACGGAAAAGAACTGACCAATGAAATCAAAGGATACCTCATTGGTATGCATGATTATTAACAGATGACACTGATAGTCAAACTCAGTCTTAATGACCCCAAAATGTATCTGCTGACCAAGTTTCACCCAAATTGAATGATATTTGGGGAAGTTAGAACACGGAAACGAAAGTGTGACAGACAGACGGTCGGACGGACGAACCCAAATTAATATCCCCCTTTTCGTTGAAAGCAGGGGATAATAAAAGACTATAACTGGGATAAGTACTATAGGGGCACGGTCAATGACAGTGAAGGGCAATTTACCCCAAACCACCCAAAACATATAAAACTACACTATAATCCACCCAAACAACATACAGAAGACGGAAAAACTGTAATATATTTAAAAGGATGTGTATATTTGGCGAGTAGGATAATTCAAGTATGAATTTATAGATTGGGGGTGCAAAAATCGAAGTCTTACCAAAACGACAAACAGATAACACAAATAAAAGTAAGAGTACGGGTTGATACGGGTCAGTGCACACTAACTACAAACTTTCTGCATATTGCTGATATTCCTATATATTTGCTAACCTGGCTTGGGATCACATTCTGTAGAGTGAAAATAAAGTAATGACATATAAGTTCGACACAAATAAACAATACAACAAGTGTCTATTACATAACAAAGATGAAAGGTTACAAAAGTTACACAAAAAGTAGTTGTGCAGATATAAAACTAGTAATAGCTATCTTATAAAAAAATAACAAAAAACATGCATACACTTCTATACTAAATAACCAAACATGTATGGATCTGATAAATTAGTGACTGAACTGAACATGTAGATGGTATTTTAGGCATACGTTTATGCCATGTTATGGTTTAACACTTAAAGAACAGGTTTTGTCAAGGTCAAATATAGATATGTATGGACATATGCAATTACCATTTTATGTACTACCAGCAAAGTATGCTGCTTTGAATATTGTGTGGTTTCCATATTAAGCATCCGGCCTCTGTGGGGAGAAAGAGAAAATACCAACATGGCAACATAATCATAATCATAATTCAAACTCATATTCCATATACCTAGGGCAAAAAACAAAAGAAAGGTTTGCACGGAGACTCATGAAAGGTACAAGAAGAAGAAGACTAGATGTTCCGGAAGAGATAGCGTCTTCTGCTTCATTGACGACACCCGCCATGTAAACCTTGGTCAATCCAAGTACATTTCTCAATGAGATCACTATGGCGATCATAAAACTTCCTAGTATTTTTTATCAACCTGCATCATTTGAACCCTTGTGTTACGAGTTTGTCAGTCAGTTGACGACTTCTTGCTGGAAAATCGTGATAATAGGAACAAGCCCTTGAATACCGAATCAACTGTGACATGTAACTACTTTAGGCTGGAGATGCATCGATAATGCTATCCAGAAATGGAAAATTCACAATAGAGAAATTGAAATCATCACGTTTATCATACAGCTTGATTGACAGCTGTCAAAGTTGGTTTCGTTGTAAGAAAAGATGGCGATAAGCAGTTGATGTGGAAGAGTCTGCCGTACCTTTGATCTCCAGTTCTGGTGGATATATATTATAGACGTAGTCCATAAATTTCTTGTTATTAAAGACGTCATCAACATATCTGAAGGTGAAATAAACAACTTTGCAAGGTCTTTGTGACCTGTTTTGATAAGCTCTTCAATAAATTCAGCCTCGTATGAAAACAGTCAGCTAACAGATGGGCGCATTTGGTTTCCATACAGATGCCAATAATCTGTTGGAAGATCTTATCGCCAAACTCGACGGCGATGTGGTCAACCAGTCTCACGTTTACCGATTAAAGTCAAACTCAGTTCTTATTTTTAAAAAAAGAAACACTGGTGATATTACCACCGACATTATATTGGTTAAATAATTATCACACGTGAATCAAGAAGTCTTATGGATATATCTGACCATCCATTTTTCAACAGGACTTTATTGTATAACTCCCCGATGTTGCCATAAATGTCTGATTGTTTTGTTTTTTAATGAAATAAAAGATTAGGTACATACGTTATTAGTTTCAGATGATATTCCATTCCTTTTAAAAGAAGTTATAATACACGGCTGAATGGAAATTGTAGAACTTATTACATACAGGGTTAGGATTGTGGGTCTGGATGTGTCTTGAGATGTTTTGTTTTATGTAAATCGTTCTTAACTAGTATAACCCCAGCGGAGGCAGGGTATTTTTCTTACTACTTATGTTACAGTACAGATAATGAAAATCCGTAATAAATAACACCATTTTGTATCAATGATTTGCAAACTTTATCTATAGGCCTCGTATTAGCCCAAAACAACGCTGTTTGTGACATTAGAATGGTTCCAATCCTGTTCTTGTCGGCTGATATGTAAAAGTCTCTTGTCTGCTAAAGACGTTTTAATTGTCCTGGACAGCTTTTAGTAATTTTTATTTTAGAGTGACCTCCCTTTAACTGATAAGACTTGTTGACAAACTACGAATGGAAAGCATTAACACTGGTTTCAGTTTCTCGAATGATATTAAGACGACGTTGTTTTCAAGGATCGAGGTTGGTATTAGCCTAATCTAAATTTGATACGATACAACGGATCCATGTATTACGTTTTAGGCCAAAATGAAGTGAGTTACAGTATCGATACGTATATCAGCAAATAACTGGACATGGCGACACGTACAATGTACAACACGTTGATGGTACGGTATGGATCGTATAATTATACAATTTATAAAGTAATGGCTATATTCACCTTTCATCGCCCTGTGAACAACTGATATAATTTTGAGGCAGGATAGTATTTTTTTTTTACTTTATTGAAGATTTTGCGGGAGATCCGCCGTAAGCAAGGTTATCCAAAGCAGTGTGTGAGTGACTTGAGTTTGATGACTCGCTGATGAAATAGATAGTGTGTTTATGTGTATGAATACAGAGTTTTATTAATTTTGTTTGATGGATGAGCCCATAGGACACAACCATGATGGGTAGAGTCTTACGTGGGTCTTTTCCATGGATAGAGACAGTAACCGAGGTGTAAGAGTTTGGCTGGTTGGCAAGCCTCGTGCACCCCAGCCTTACTATCACACACAACCTGTTCAAATAGCAGACCTATGTTTAATGATTTTTCTTGTATATATACCTAAAAAAAACAGTAAAAGTTTGAAGTTGTGATGAAATCTATTCATCACGCCATCATCCATATTCCGTGAAATGTACATCAAAATTGATAATGTTATTAATTTGTGACATGGTTACATTTACGCAACATAAAAGATGATGAACTTTTTGGAACTAGTGTTCTGATCTCCCTATTAGAAGTTACTGGTCACTAGTTCAAGGTCTAGTAGGGGATTCAGATGTTTTTTCATTGTTCCTTCTTCTAACAAAATTGTAGTATTCAATATATATCACATATATCAATATACTTGATTTTGAAACAGCTTAGTTTCTATATATTTTCCTTTTATCCACACATATTAACATTTCAGAAGAATTGAGATCTTGACAATATCATTGATTTAAATGGTACAATATATCTTATTTATTTCAGAAAAGAAAAGCTAACACAAGATGATGACTGACTTTGGATATGACGAAGATAAGGATAGTGATGTGGATGTCCAGGAAATGTTGGAACTCCAACTCTCTGAGGTGGAAATGCTTTCTAGTATGTTCCCCTCTAAAGAAGAGTTCCAGATGGATGACCCCTGCACTGTAGCAGCCATAAGAAACTATCTTGATGGTCAAATGCTATACGAGTATCTACATAAGAGAGTGGGCTTTACAGTCAAAGTGATGCCAAGGTCATCAGACAGTAAGGTCAGTATTTGTATGTAACATTCCCACAGACTTATGTATGTGATGTCATCCAGAAGTTATGCTGTATTTCTCCAGTAATAAGCCTGGTAATTGGGTGGGGGCAAGCACAAAATAATGACCTAACGTACAGAATGGTATCATTATTGAAGGTCATTAAAATAGCAACAGTGCTGTACTGCAATAGACATGATAGGGTCAGGCTTATTCTGTATGGCCCTAAGAACATCACTATGAACACACTAATTAAGTATTTATCCTACAACTGGCAATTCCATTGTTAAAATACACCTACCATATATATTTTTGCTGTGACGAGAAACGGATGTATTTTAGTGTGTGTGGTAATTCAGTAGTATTACTCTCTGAATTTACTGAAAAACAACATTTAGCAACATAAATAACTGTTGAAATAAGTAATTTTATATGTTGTAATCATACACTGTAAGGGGTAGCAGGAATTGAGCCACACGTATCCTCACATATTAATCAATTTACACATACATGTAGTACTACAGCATATCATCCATCCGTACTCATAAATATAGCTTCTTTCATGAATTTCCATTTGGCATGTGAATTTACCAATATAGTCTAAGAATTCTTCCTTTTAGCAACCTAATGGTTAGCTAAAACAAAACAAAAATTGTGAAGAGTTTATAAAATTACATAACAAATGGAAATAAATGTATGACCCTTTTTATCGTGATTGATTTTCAAGCCATTATGATACAGAACAGATATTTCCACATCAAACTTTATGTAATATCTGCTCTATAACAGTAATCACCAGGATTTATAACAATGTCATCTGTAAATGTGTGATATCGATTTATTATCTGAAATGACTACACAAGAAGCTATATCACACATTTGTAATACACAGAAATATATCACACATATGTAATACACAGAAATATATCACATTTGAAATATATCACATTTGTAATACACAGAAATATATCACATTTGTAATACACAGAAATATATCACACATATGTAATACACAGAAATATATCACATTTGTAATACACAGAAATATATCACACATTTGTAATACACAGAAATATATTACATTTGTAAAATACAGAAATATATCACACATTTGTAATACACAGAAATATATCACATTTGTAATACACAGATATATCACACATTTGTAATACACAGATATATATCACATTTGTAAAATACAGAAATATATAACACATTTGTAATACACAGATATATCACACATTTGTAATACACAGAAATATATCACATTTGTAATACACAGATATATCACACATTTGTAATACACAGATATATATCACATTTGTAAAATACAGAAATATATAACACATTTGTAATACACAGAAATATATCACATTTGTAATACACAGATATATATCACATTTGTAAAATACAGATATATATAACACATTTGTAATACACAGATATATATCACATTTGTAAAATACAGAAATATATAACACATTTGTAATACACAGAAATATATCACATTTGTAATACACAGATATATCACACATTTGTAATATATATATATATATAACATATTTGTTATACACAGATATATATAACACATTTGTAATACACAGAAATATATCACAAATTTGTAATACACAGATATATATAACACATTTGTAATACACAGATATATATAACACATTTGTAATACACAAATATATCACACATTTGTAATACACAGAAATATATCACATTTGTAATACACAGATATATATAACACATTTGTAATACACAGAAATATATCACATTTGTAATACACAGAAATATCACACATTTGTAATACACAGATATATATAACACATTTGTAATACACAGATATATATAACACATTTGTAATACACAGAAATATATCACACATTTGTAATACACAGAAATATATCACACATTTGTAATACACAGAAATATATCACATTTGTAATACACAGAAATATATCACATTTGTAATACACAGATATATCACATTTGTAATACACAGATATATCACATTTGTAATACACAGAAATATATCACATTTGTAATACACAGAAATATATCACACATTTGTAATACACAAGAATATTATCATATTCACTTAAAACAGACCAATCATGTGATGATATACTTACAGATGGGTAATATAATAATGTTATGATGTAGTGTTACTATTTGATTAGCAGTGTAAAGTATGTTATTTAATTACAGGTTGCAGTGGAGTTAGTTTGTAACTTACCTCATGAATACCCACATGTAGCACCGACTGTGTTCACCAGGTCTCCTCTTATGAATCGAGAGAACCACCAGCGATTAAATGAAGATTTAAATGATTTCATACAAGGGATTGACCGAGGAGAAATCTGTATGTTTTCTGTGATTGAATGGATACAAGAGAATATAGACCAATACCTAGTCTCTGTGGAAAAGAAGAAGGATGTTTCACCTCCCAAGGAAGTGGACACCATTTTCTCAAGACTTTGGATATACAGTCACCATATCTATAGCAAATTCAAACGTCGGGATATTATTGACTGGGCCCAGGAACTTCACCTGACAGGTTTTAGTTTGCCAGGAAAACCAGGTGTTATATGTGTGGAGGGTTATAGTCGTAGTGTGGAAGAATATTGGCAAAGACTTCGGCGTCAGAACTGGAAACGTTTAGTGATTAAGGAAAAAGAAGAACAGGATATTGGAGATGATGATATAAAAAAGTATTATAAGTTTGATGCCTTTGAAGAAAAAGTTTTTGATGCTCGTGGTGGTAAAGGTAGAGAATATCATATGGACTTGGGGAAGTTGTTCGAGTTCCTAGAGAAACATGACTGTAAGCACATATTTAGTCTTTACTTTGGAGTGGATGGAAAAATGGCAACAGATTAAAAGTATGAGTGTACAGTTATATACAAAATTTGTTATTTTTTACTTTCTGTTAAACTGTGAGACTGACCCTTATTTTCTGGTCCATCCATCAGCATTCTTCTACACTTTTTCAGTAATATCTACCAGGGTGTTCAAATCTTTATATGTCTGTTCCAGGGTATACAGGAATGTTTACCAATCCCTGGGTATACAGATATGTTTAACAATCCCTGGGTATACAAGTATGTTTAACAATCCCTGGGTATACAGGTATATTTAACATCCCAGGGTATACAGGTATGTTTAACAATCCCTGGGTATACAGGTATGTTTAACAATCCCTGGGTATACAGGTATATTTAACAATCCCTTGGTATACAAGTGTGTTAATATATATTGTTGTATAGGTTTTTTACACAAATTGAACGTTGTGTATATTGATATGTTGAACATTTTCTCGTTGTTTGTTCCTTTTTTGTTGACCGACATATATGTGTATAAAGTACAATATTCCTGAACACGCACTTACATTTGTACTAATTTAAAGTCAGGTCTAGATCTGTTTTTTTCATTTACTTAACCTTGACAAAATTCAAGTCAGTTATCTTTTTATGTACATTTTGGGACGATCTACTTGTGAGACAGCGACCTTGTATACTGCGTTAAGGCTTCAGAAAACGGCAGCGTCATCACTGACATAATATCATGTTATGGATAACTGATATCACACAAATACAATTCAAATAAAAATGTATTACTTAGAGTATAAAAAGCAACTGTATAAATTATCGAGAAAGCAATGTTAGACAAATGATATGTTGATTTCGTAAGTACACATTTTTTGACTTGTCCTTGTCATCCTGTTTTAATTCACAAGGCTTGGCATGATCTATCCACATATGACACAGGACTTGGTTTTACTTTTATAAAAGAATGGTTGTCTTGGAGACATTATAAGGCATCTCCACAACAGATAGAAATGACGTAAACATTATTTTGATGGTATAGAATGAGTTGTTAGTTATTCAATATCCTTATTTTAAGAATGGTTAATTATCTGATGAATATGTCATATATTGTTTACCTCACAGTCTTATACGCGAGAGAAAGATAAGGGATGTTTAACGAGAGAGAGAGAGGGGGGGGTGTAGTGGATGGAGAGAGAGAGATTATGGAAAATGTACACAAGATGATAGAGAAAGAAATATTTAAGTCTGTTAAACAAAGCTAGAGATATTATACTATTGTTTACTGACGCTGTTTTATAATATGGCATTTTTCGTTAACAATGCCCAATAATGATAATAACAATAATAATGAAAAGCAAAGACATCATAATCAAGAAAATTAGGTCCAAATATGAACAAAAGAAAGATTCACACGGGATACAAAGGGGATAAGACCTGGTGTACCGGAAGAGAAAGCGTCTGCTTCTTCATCCATGACACCATGTAAATCCAAGTAATGTCACGTTTTAAAATGATAGCAATATACACAACAACGGGAACCAACAGGCAAACTTAAGAGAATCTATCACTATGACGACCATAAAAACTCTTCATAATTTTTATCATCCAGCATCTTTTGAAACCCTGTGTTTCAGTTGACGACCTATTGCATGGGAATTGTGATAATGGACACGGGTCCTTGAATATCGAATCGACGTCGACATGTAAGTACCAGGTTTGGGATGCAGGTATGTTGCTATTTAGAAATGGAAAATTCATATTAGGGAAATTGAAATTATAACGCTTTAGATACAGCATAGGTGAAAGCTATCCGTGCTACTTTCGTTGTAGAAAAAAATATCGAGATGAGCGGCTAATGTAGAAGAGTACGTCGTGTTCTTTATTTCCTATTCTGGTGGGTGTAAGCCATGAACGTGATAAATCAATCTCTTGATATTTAAAGACAAGACATCATCAATATATCTGAAAATGAAACTTTACGACTTTGCAAGGTCTATGTGGCCTGTTTTGACACGCTCTTCAATAACAAGTCATCCAACAGAGAGGCAAAGTTGGTTACCATAGGGATGTCAAAAGTCTGTTGGAAGGTCTTACCACCAAACTGGACGAAGATGTTGTTAACCAGAAACTCGAACATAGTCATGACTTCGTCCTCAGTATATTTATTCGTTGATTTGGACGTATTTTTCACGAGGTACACTTCAGTTAAGTTCACAACAATATATTTGTGCCGCCGTTGACGTTGCAGTATATTGTGCCGTTTTGTGTCGGCGCCAATATGTGTTGAAGATATGGTATATTGTGCATTTGTGTGTTGACGCTGTTGCATATTGTGCTGTTGCGTGTTGACGATGTGGTATAATGTGCCGTTGTATATCGTACTTGATGCTATCCTAAAGTTTTCTGATGCATGGAAATTGCGAAATTTATTTAATTTTGGGGCTGCTTCATCTCCCTGTCTGAATTGGGACTTTTCTCTGATCACTTTGGATTTTCCATAGTTGCCAAGGCTTCAAAAGTTTGGCTGTAAGCATCATTGACGAGTAAGACGCGACAGCTGCATGATGCAGATTAATTCATTGTTTGGCTTTACTTTATCTCACTCTAAATTATGAAAATGTGCTAATCACTTGTGTGGCTTTTGTAAAAGCACTGAGCCGTTGTGTTGATGCTGTGCTATATTTACATAAATATAGTCAATAATGAAGTAAATGACTAGAAATTAGGGAATACTATCAAACCTCTTAATGTTTTCTATATTTTTCATACTTCAGAAAGTTGCAACAAAGTAACTGAAATAATCTTCAACCGTTACCATTAGCGAATATAATATCGACTCCAAAACAAATATGTAACAAATAAAAGCAATATTGAAGAATTCTGTGTTTACCTGTGCTGATGTACCTGTTATTGCTCCTGCTGGTGTTTGTTTTATCCACATGGATGGATAGAGTCAGCACTGGAAAGGCGGGTATAATGACGATAGATCCGACGAATATCCAGTTTAGCCTCTATACCACCTGAAAACATTATCAATCCGAAAGGTATTATACAATCATATACTCATAATCCAAACTCAAATTCATTAAAAGGCAAGATAGTTACAAAAGAAAGATGTACACGGAGACTCCTGAAAAAAGTACAAGGAGAATAAGACCAGGTGTTCAGGAAGAATAAGCGTTCTTTGCTTCATCGACGACACCCGCCATGTAAATCTTAGTCAAAGTAAGAAATGTCACTTTCTCTAATGAGAACAAGATATGAAACCAACAGACCAACTAACGAGCACAAAACACGTTCAACTTGACATCTCGCAAAGAAACAGAAAATTTCTCAATGAGATCATTATGACGACTGTAAAACTTCCCCATAATTTTTATTAACCTACATCTTTTGAAACCCTGTGTTAGGAGTTTGGCCGTCAGTTGACGACTCATTGCACGAAAATATCGTGATAATGTGTACAAGGTCCTAGAATATCTAATCAAAACTTCAGATTTTGGAAAATTCACAATAGGGAAATTAAAACCATCACGTTTAGCATACGGTTTGGTGGAAATCTATCCATGTTGAATACGTTGTAGGAAGACCGAAATAAGCGGCTGATGTAGAAGAATGTAATAAAATACCTTTCAATTAACACCTCGTACATTGAATGGAAATAATTCAACTTATGTAAGTGGAACTGATGGGACTTAAACATGAGTGAGAAATTTGCCAAACAAGAAAGTTTATCTTATACTCGACGGCCAGGAAAACCTTACAACGAACATTGATATCTCACTCTCAAACGATTTATTTGTTTTCACCATTCAATGTTTCAGCTCTTGGTTTTGTTTTCAAACTGTTTTACGACTTATACGTATTTCAAGTAAGTTGTGAATACAATGTTGAGTTCATCAATCTTATCTAATGTCAGTATTAATCTTAACAGGGGGTTTCATAAGAAATTCATGTCTCAGCACACCTGTACCGAAAATGAAATTTATTTCGTTTATCTGGAAACGTTGAAAATACCAACATGTCAAAAGAGTCATAATCCAAACTCAAATTCAGTATACCCAAAATAAAATATGAACGGAAGTAAGGTTTACACAGAGACTCCTGAAATGTACAAGGAAAATAAGACCAAGTGTTCCGAAAGAGTAAGCATCTTCTGCTTCATCAACGACACTCGCCTTGTAAATCTTGGTCACTCCACTGAAGTAATACCACCTCCGCAAATGAGAGCGAGATACATTGTATACAACAGCGGAATCAACAGGTAAACTACCGAGTAGAAAACAACATCATACCGCAGAAGGAAATAGAATATAAGTCAACCAACCGAGGGGCACAGTTACTTTCAATAGGTATGCCAATTATGTATTGGAAGATCTTACCAGTAGACGAAAATGTCCAGAAACTGGATCAATTTCATGATTTCGTTATTTACATATATTTTCTTGATTCGGACGTATTTTTCACGAAATACTATTCAGTGTAATTAAAAACAACATGTTTAGCTTTATTGGTAAAAAAAAGCTCTCATAATAAGAGAACGAATGCATTTTGTCGGTTTGGAATGTGGTATGCTGGTGTAAAAACTTGAAAACAATCTAGAATAAGAAATGTTTTAAGAAGAGATTGTTGCAGATCGGTCAAAAGTTCTTTGGAGTTCTTTTAACCCCACATACATTTATTATCCATTTAATTTCTTGAGTATACATTAGAACACTAAGACTGTAGCTCAGGCTTGATAATGCTAAGAATGGTAGTCAATGATTTTAACAAAGGTTTGTTCGGACAGCTGGATGAGCCAGCAATAATACTTCGTTTATGTGAATTCTTGTGAAGTTTAGGAATCCAATATATACCAGGGAGGTCCGTATCATTATTAATGATAAGCAAGCTAAATGATTGTTATACTGAAGAATGATTATCCAGTATTTATTTTTGAAAGATTGCATATGTATAGGCAGGGTTCCTTTGTTATCAAGCAATTCTACAAGTAATGCCTATGTTTTCATTTTAGATATCCAGATGATAATTCTTTTAACAAAGATGCACCGAATGACTTAACCCACTGTGTGACAGTTCTCAACAAAATCCATATTCAAATTAACAATCTGGATATCAATATATTTAGACACACAAGTGAATAGCAGCTTTAATACAAGTTTAGTGAACAGAATGA